TTCAGGTTATTAAAAGCACAAGCACATTAGATGGAGCTGTTGCTGCCTGTCTGTTGGAGTATGGCGATAAAGAAGGTAATTAACATTCTTGAAATGACTGGGAAACATGTATTTTATTTTAATTTGACTCATTTTCTGGGGCAAAGAGCAGAATTAAAAATTGGAGGGAGATGGTATGAGGGATTTGTGGCTATATTTCTATTGTAGAAGGAGATGGTTTAAAGTAATTGTGTGCATTTGATACAATGGATGTGTTTTTGTTTTCTCTGCTTCAGAACCAAACAAGAAGAGAAAGGTGGATGAACGTAGTAACTCACAGGATGGTGGTCAAGATCAACCTAGGAAAAAGAGGCAACCATCATTGGTAAGATCACTTAGATCAACAGACGAAAGGAATGAATTACCCTGAAGTTGAAGCTAATTTAATTATTTGTACTAGATATACTGTAGTTTGTCCATCCAGTTTTGATAAATAAAACAGTATATTGATAAAAATTGAGAAAAATGAGAACATTGCATTGAACTTCCTTGTCATTGCCTCAGTAGTTGAGTAACTTTTTTTTTATTGAAAAAGCCCACAAGAAAAAGCTCTGATTGGGTCACTCGAGGCTCTGTCAGAGGTGACTGTTACATTCCTCTGCGCAGGAGCACTTTTAGTCAGTCGGCCTGGTCAGTAAGGAGTGTATGTGCATGGAACTCTGTACCTGAGGAGGTTAAACTGCCTACAATATACAAGACCTTCACAAAAAAATTGAAAATGTGGCTTATCAACACCTACAGTTGCCAACACTAAAAGATAGGCCTGTTGTGATGTTTGAATGTTATGATCAAATGTTATGTTGTGATATGTTGTAATGTTTTCTTTCTTAATTGTATAGTAAGTGTTTTGTATTATATTGTATTGTATGTATTGTGTGTGCTTTCTGCCTTCTTACATCATGGCCAGGGGACTACAGATGAAAACTAGCCTTCTAGCTAACTCTGGCTTTTTTAACCATGTGTAATCATGTGTTTTATGAAATTGCACTGTCCCCTTATAAATAAACTAAACTAAACTCTTTACCTTTCATTGGTAAGGTCTCTGAAGAAGAAGAAGAAGGAGGAGATGATGACGATTGTGATGATGATAATGAAGAAAAAGAACCAAGTTGGGAGAAGCAGGAGGCCATGGTGAGGAGGCTGCAAAGAAAGTTTCCTGATCAGGACAAGGAGGTACAAACCTGTAGACACTTTGTTGCCATTTGTAACGCTTTTATTCATTTTTTTTTTTTTATTTAGCCGTTTATAGAGGAACGATATTCTCACTTTTTGCATGTGGTAGTGGTTAAAGATTGGGCTTGTAATCAAGATTCAAATCCCAGTTTTGGTAGGGAGCATTACTAATAGTCGGTGTGTATGGTGAATCACTGGTGCGATAAACAGATGTTTTAAATGCAGGGATTAGTTCCCCTATAATAATGAATGTTGAACAAAAAATGTCATTAATAAAGGTTAACATGAGCTAATTTAGGTTTAAACAATTAAACTTAAGTCTTCTCTTTGCCTTATTATGAATTTATAAATGTGTAAATGATGTGATATTTTGGTTTTGATTGCACAGAAAATGTTCTTTTCTGACAATAGGCCATGTAATAGAGCTTGCACAATAATAGTCAACTTGGAGACAAAAACAGGTTTTTGTTTTGATGGATTTGTGTTTGAGCTTTGACTCCTCATGTCTGTGCAGGAGTTGCGAATGGTGCTGCAAGAACACAACTGGGACGATGAAGAGGCTCTGCAGGTGCTGCAGATGTTCTCTGACCCAGGTAAGACTACAACAGGTACACAGCCACCTTCTCACTAATTTACTTTACATCTAACTGGTTCAATCTTTCTTTGTGATGTTCTTTGCTCAGTTAGTTGCAGTTCCCCCGACTCTAAAAAAGAAACTTCCAACAAATTAAAGCACAAAGACAAGTCAAACAGGACACACAGAAAAAGGCACAAGCATGTTGAAGGGCTCATAATTATCAGTGAAACCGATCTGGACAGTGCCAACGATTCAGAAGCTAGAAAACAAAGTGAAAATGAATCAGATGTTGAAGTCACATCTAGAGCTTCAACACTGTCCACGTGGCTTCAAAAAGAATCCAAGCCTGTGTCTTCATCCTCATCTCTCAAGAATGAATATAGTTCTACCTCGAAAAAAAATTCTTCTACTTCTGCTGCTGCCCAGATGTTGTCAAGGTTTGCCAGTGGCACCAGTTTAGCTAGTTTAGCTAAGAAACAAGCAGCAGAAAGTAAGAGGAAGGCACGTGCCATGAAAGAACACGTCAGCTCTGAGGGGGAAAGTGATGGAGGAGAGGACACTGTGAGTAGTGAGTTTGATGACTCGGACAATGAACCGGATTCTAACACTGCCATGACTGGCATTAAGCAGGAGATGCTAGACTTTTTCAAGGAGGCATCGCTAGATGAGCTGTCGCAGATCTCTGGCTGTTCTGTCAAGAAAGCCAGCAGAATCATAGAGATGAGACCCTTCAAAAAGTGGCAAACACTGGTGAGTTTTTTTTTTTTTTGGAAAATAATACATTCTATTGAAAAATTACGTAAGACCAACGTGCGAAAAATTCCTGTGGTTAAGGTGCAGAAATTCCCTCAAATAGATATATCATCAATAATTGTTTTAGACAATTTCTCAATAAACATTACTCGGAGAGTGTCAAATAAATACTTCTGAAATAGAGGGACAACTTTTGATAACATTTATTTGCAGATTCAAAGATGAACAAATGTTTGGCTAATAATGTAACTTAGTCTTTTTCGGGTTTGACAAAAACAACTGTTCTTCTTCTATGGTCATTTTCTTTTTTACTAAACATGTAAGTTTTTTTTCTGTCTCTTGCACGGATTCGATTGGCTTAGGAAATTATTTTTATCGTAAGAGCCAAATAAGCTGTGCCAACTGAAATAGAGGCGCTCAAATAAAATTGACCAAACCTTGAGATTCCAGCAGTTAAGGCTTGTCCAGACATTAAATGTAGCGCCTTTATTCTCATAGAAAAAATCTTCCCTTTGCAATGATTAGTAACAAAAGATCATTAACCTCAATAATGTTTTCTTAGTTTGATATACCGTAGTTTAAATTAAAAGAAATATCTGGGATTTTGTCCATTGTAATGCTATTCATTGGTTATAGTAAATACATCAGCAGTTTCTACAATCTAGTAAACAGCATGAACTTTTGCAGATCATCTAGATTGGTTGATTGATTTAATTTATTGATTATGTGCATTGACATTAGCTATTAAAATTGTTGCATCATGTGTAGTTTAACAGGTGTTCCTAATAAAGTCGCAAAATATAATGACCAAAGCGGATTTGTCTTATACAACTTTTAACCTGTCTACTTTTTCTTTCCTCAGGTGGAAATCCTTCAGAAAGAGAATGGACTCTCTGAGCATTTACTTGTTGGCTGCAAACATTTCCTCAAAGAGCGAAAAGTAGTCTTAGGGCTTATGTCCAAATGTGAGACTATTTCCTCCAAAATGGTCAAACAGGTGACCAAGGTGATGGAGAGTGGCACAGGAGCCAAGAAACAGCCCAGTTTACTCAACAGCCAGTGAGTTACACCTCTACTCAGTTTATTATTATTTTACAAATGGTTCATTAAAAATCTGCGCAGTGGTAAACTAAGGTGCATCAGTCTGTGAGTGCTGTTTAAATGTTTTCTTTGCCGGTGTGGTTGATGTTCTTGCACAACCCACCAAAAACCTTTTTGCATCAAATTGTGTAGGTTTATATTATAGTGTTCTTGCCACATCATTTTTTTTCACATTGTGCTTCTTTTTTGATGCAATTCAAAAGGTTTTGAGCATAAATTTCGAGAAATTATAAATTACTTAAACTTCGACCAGGCAGATACACTGAGAGGTACTGTGTTAATCAACTGTTGTTTTTGTTTCAGGCTCCACTTGAAACCTTATCAGCTGATTGGGCTGAAGTGGCTGCTGCTGCTGCACGAGCATAAACTAAGCGCAATCCTGGCTGATGAAATGGTTAGAGGACAAAACCTGCTGACATTTGAGGAAGGGGGGGCACTAAGTTAAAGACCCTGTTATCTTTTTTTAGTGTGTCTGCTCTTTATGTACACTTGTTTATTATTTTGTATCTGGCTGACACTTTATCTGGTCTTTTTTCACTTTCTTCCATTTTCTCAGGGTTTGGGTAAAACAATCCAAGCTATATCTTTTTTGGCCCAGTTGTATGAGAATGGAATAGAGGGACCTTACCTTATCACTGTGCCATCATCTACACTTGGTAATGGACAAATCACACTCACTACTAGTTTACAGTTTCTTTTGTTAGTTTGTTATTGAAATAGTAAGAAATAAAGGATTGTGCGAATTGTAGCAGAATTTACAATTAAATCTGCATCAGTGTAAAAAATTATTGATCGGCTTAAAAAGGATTTTGTACACGATTATTTTTCTGCTTTTTCTGCATTTACATTTAATAGGATAACTGTGAACTATTTTATCCATCCATCCATCATCAACCGCTTATCCGGGTCACGGGGGCAACAGGTGGCCCTCTTCCTCGACACTTCCTCCAGCTGTTCTGGGGGGACCCCAAGGCGCTCCCAGGCCAGCCGAGTGATGTAGTCGCTCCAGTGTGTCCTAGGTCTTTCCCTGGGTCTCCTCCCAGAGGGACAGGACCCGAGCACCTCCCGAGGGAGGCGTCCGAGGGGCATACGATGTAAATGCCCCAGCCACCTCAGCTGACTCCTCTCGATGTGGAGGAGCAGCAGCTCTACTTCAAGCTCCTCTTGGGTGACAGAGCTCCTCACCCTATCTCTAAGGGAGCACTCTGCCACTTGCGGAGAAAGCTCATTTCAGCCGCTTGTATCCGGGATCTTGTTCTTTCGGTCATGACCCAAAGCTCATGACCATAGGTGAGGGTAGGAACGTATATCGACCGGTAAATCGAGAGCTCTGCCTTTCGGCTCAGCTCCTTCTTCTGAGCTGACCGATACAGCCCCGAAGGGTGCATACCACCTTTTTCCGGTCGAGAACCATGGCCTTGGACTTAGAGGTGCTAATTCTCATCCCAGCGGCTTTACACTCGACTGCAAACCGCCCCAGTGCATGCTGCAGGTCCTGGTTCGAAGAGGCCAACAAGACCACATCAACCACAAAAAGCAGAGATGAAATCCGGTGGCTACCGAACTGGACCCCACCCGACACCTGGCTGTGCCTAGAAATTCTGTCCATAAAGATAATGAACAGAACCGGTGGCAGCCCTGCCGTAGACCAACATGCACCGGGAACAGGTCCGACTTACTGCCGGCAATGCGAACCAAGCTCCTACTCCGATCGTACAGGGACCGGACAGCCCTTAGAAGAGGGCCCCCGAACCCCATACTCTCGGAGCACCCTCCACAGAATACCATGAGGGACACAGTCGAAGCCTTTTCCAAGTCCATAAAACACGTGCACCGGTTGGGCAAACTCCCATGAACCCTCAAGCACCCTGTGGAGGGTATAGAGCTGGTCCAGTGTTCCACGACCAGGACGAAAACCGCATTGTTCCTCTTGAATCCGAGGTTCGACTATCGGCCGGATTCTCCTCTCCAGTACCCTGGAATAGACTTTTCCCGGGAGCCTGAGGAGTGTGATCCCCGATGGTTGGAACACACCCTCCGGTCCCCCTTTTTGAAAAGAGGCACCACAACCCCGGTCTGCCAGTCCAGGGGTACTGTTCCGGACTGCCACACGATGCTGCAGAGACGTGTCAACCACCAGTCAGACAGCCCCACAACATCCAGAGACTTGAGGTACTCAGGGCGGATCTCATCCACCCCCGGCACCTTTCCACCGAGCAGCTTTTTGACTGCCTCAGCGACCTCAGCACAGGAGATGGGAGGATCAGCTGCCGAGCCCTCAGCCTCAGCTCCCTCCACGGAAGGCGTGTCAATGGGATTCAGGAGATCCTCGAAATATTTCTTCCACCTCCTGAAGACATCCTCAGTCGAGGTCAACTGAAAGTGCTTCCCCTTCCTGAGGCGCCAGGTGGTTTGCCAGAATCTTTTCAAGGTCGACTGGTAGTCCTCCTCCATGGCCTTCCCGAACTTTTCCCAGACCCGAGTTTTTGGTTCTGCGACTACCCGAGCCACAGGACGCCTCGCCTG